GAGCTGTCAGCACAGAGCCCGACACGGGACTCGAACCCACAGACCCGTGAGATCATGACCTGAGCCAAAGTCAGATGTTTAACCAACAGAACTACCCAAGTGCCCCTTGCTCCTGTCCTTTTTGTTGTGTATGTATGTCACACATATGGTTATAACATAAAGGAGGGGGCGTGGTAGTGGACCTATATGGTTGTAAAGTTTTTATGAAGTAGAATAATATGCACTCTAGGTGGACTCTGAATAGTTAAGGATATATATTGAAATCCTTAGAGCAGCAGTCCTTAAAGTGGGTGATGGAAAGACTTTGGGGGAATCCCCAAAACCATTCAGGAGGCCTGCAAGGTCCTCGTTTTTCCAACAACGTATGTCAGTAAGGTTGCATTTTCTCCATATATGCCAACCCAAACAGCCTATCACAACAGATTGAATGTCAAAGTCAGTATGAGTATCCATCTGTCTTTTATTAAGACAGGCATTAAAGAGATTTGCAAAAACAGAAAACAATGCCTCTCTTCTCACTGATTTTTTAAAATATATTTTTCATAAAAACATGTTGTTTATGTTAACATAAAAATATTTAAATCTTTAAAAATTTTTCAGTTTAATTTCATAAATCTGCATACTTCTATATCTCCTCCATAAAAACTCTTTGGGGATCTCCAATACTTTTTAGGGATGTAAAGGGACCCTGAAACCAAAATGCTTGTTAATTGCTGCTGTAGAGCAAACACTCAAGAATAATGGGACAGGCAACGCTATTCACAAGAGCCAAAAGGTGAAAACAATGCAAATTGCTCATCAGTGGAAAAATGGAAAGTGTGGGATATACATACAATGGAATATGACTGCCTTAAAAGGAAGTACAGATACATTCTACCATGTGGATTATCCTGGAAAACATTATGCTAATTGAAAGAAGCCAAGCACAAAAGGCCACGTATTGTATGATTCTGTTTATATGCAATGTTCACAGCAGGCAAATCCATACAGCCAGCTAGATTGAAGGCAACCAGGCGAAGAGAAAGGGGAGAATACGGACTTACTACTTTATGCATATGGAGTTTTATTTTGGGACAATGGAAATGTTTTATTTTTTACTTTTTTTTAAACATTTATTTTTTATTTTTATTTAAAAACATTTTTTTAACACTTATTTATTTTGTGAGAGACAGAGTGGAAGCAGGAGAGGGGCAGAGAGAGAGAGAGAGAGGGAGGCACAGAATCCAAAGCAGGCTCCAGGCTCTGAGCTGTCAGCACAGAGCCCGACGTGGGGCTTGGATTCGTGAACTGTGAGATCATGACCTGAGCCGAAGTTGGACACTTAACTGACTGAGCCACCCAGGTGCCCCAGTATGTAATAATAATAATAAAAAAAAAATCTAGGGAACACTTCTCAAATTTGCATGTGATCCTTGTGCAGAGGCCATGCTATTCTCTGTATTGTTTTAGTTTTAGTACATATGCTATTGAAGTGAGCAGACAGTGTATGATTAAAAAACACAACACTGAGCATGCAAGAAAAGTTGAACTATTTTTGATAACAAGAGTAAAGAGGGTGGAAAGTGCTTTTTAAAACAGCTAAACAAATAGAGTGTAGTTGATCATAAGCACGCCAGTGTTGAGGAATGGAGTGTCCTGCTATTTGCAACTTACTCTGAATTGCACCAAAAATAGAATGGATTCATTGATGGAGGGGATAGATGTGTGATAAGGGGATAGGGCAAATACAGACAAATGTTAACAATTGTAGAATCTAAGTGGTGAGTATATGAGTGCTTATTGTATAATTCATTCAATTGTTCCTTGTATTTGAAATTTTCACAATCTTTTTTGGGGAGAAATTTTTATTTGTATTGTGCAAGGTATGCTGGGAAGGAGTGAGAGTCCTTTAGCGTATGGGGACCTGAAAGGCTGAGGGGACCCCTCCAGCAATTTAGAGGCCTCAGGGGGAAACTGCGGAGGACTAACTGGCCTGGAATTAGGACGCTGGAGGCACATTTGTGCTGGGGTGGGACAGGAAAGAGTAAAAGGGTCAGAGGGACCAGGTATGACTTTCCCTGATGAACATGGGTGCAAAAATTCTCAACAAGATACTCGCAAATCAAATCCAACAATACATTAAAAGAATTATTCACCATGACCAAGTGGGACTTATTCCTGGGCTGCAGGGGTGGTCCAATATCTGCAAATCGATCAACATGATACATCACATTAATAAAAGAAAGGATAAGAACCACACGACCCTCTTAATAGATGCAGAAAAGCATTTGACAAAATACAGCATCCTTTCTTGATAAAAACCCTTAAGAAAATAGCGATAGAAAGAACATACCTCAAGATCATAAAAGCCATATATGAAAGACCCACAGCTATTATCATTCTCAATGAGGAAAAACTGAGAGCTTCCCCTTATGGTCAGGAACACGACAAGGATGTCCACTCTTACCACCATTAGCCTCAGCAATCAGATAACAAAAAGAAATAAAAGGCATCTAAATCGTCAAGGAAGAACTCAAACTTTCACTCTTCGCAGATGGCATCATACTTGACGTGGAAAACCTGAAAGACTCCACCAAAAACTGCTAGGACTGATACATGAA